AACTGCAGAGCAATCCAAATACTTAACAGTACAATCTGTCTGCCCTACTCATGCCTTCTATTCCTGATCATTCTCTATTAACTATTCAATGCATCCTGCCAGTAAATGAAGCCATTCTTATGAAGTTTCATGCGCTATTCCCCTGAATTTATATCAACTTACAGCTGGATTTGGAGTCTAGGAGGGGAAAAGAATGTTGGTTTAGCTGACATTTTTTTCATAACAATAAATAGAAACTTTAAATATTGCTGTTCAGTCACTTCTGACTCTTCATGACCCCTTGTGGGGATTTTTGGCAAAGACAGCAGAGTGGATTGTCATTTCTTTGTGCAGCTCATTTTACAGATGATGAAACTGAGGCAAACAGGGCACACAGCTAGTAAGTATCTAAATCTAGATTTGAACTCAGATCTTCCTGATTCAAGGCCCAGCAGTCTATCATCTGTGCCACTTAGCTAATTATAATCCAAGTGTCAAGTATACAAATCTTAGCCAGTACAGATCTGTTATAGAATTCTTTCAGTGTCTTTGAGGGATTAAATGATGCTCAATATATTCACCTCACTTTGCATTATGTGGAAAGTCAGACCGACTAGAAGAAGTATGAGAAACCTGAGCTGCCATTCAGATTTGAGATTTTTCTTTCTTGGGAGCCTATTAATTTATTTGCAGAAATAAAGCAACCTTGCCAAGACAATTCCCACATGCATTGACAACAGTCCTTCCTTGCCTGTACAATTTCGGCCTGCCTATTCCACACTGTTGTCATAGCCTGAGAAAGAGCCAAGACGAGCGTGAAGTGATCAAGGCTTTATCCTGTGTACCACAATTTAGTGGCCATTACATTTTGAGGCAGCTATGACACAGTGAATAGAGCACTGGGCCCAAAGTCAGGACGACCTCAGTTCAAATCTAGCCTCAGATGCTCACTGAGGGATCCTGGTCAAATCACTGAAACCTCTGTTTGCCTCAGTTTCCTCAGCCTCTTTAATTGGCACCCAAGTATATGCTGATGAAGCCTCTGTGAATCGCACCCACGATGAGGCTTCTTTGCCTGACTTGCAATCAGAGACTGGAGTCCCCAAAAGGCAGCTGCTTCCTTAGGTTCTCATGTAAGTAATATATGTCTTGTGTAGGTCCCCACATATCAATTGGTTCAAGCATATAGGCTTGTCTCCATATGTGGAGTGGTTTCCTAAGTGGAACAAATACTGGGGACAGAGCTCCCCCATGTGGGGTTGAATGAAGGTCACCATATTTAAAAAATGTAAGAGGAAGTAGAAACAAGTAGTTGTTGCAGTGAAGAGAATGCCAGACCTACAGTCAGGAACACTCATAATCCTGAGTTCAAATGTGGCCTCAGACACTTATGAGATGTGTGACCCAGGATAAGTCACTTAACCCTGTTTGCCAAAGTTTCCACAATAGCAAAGTGATCTGCAAAAGGAAATGGCAAACCATCACAGTATGTTTGTCCAGAAAACCCTAAATGGGGTCACAAAGAGTTGGACAAAACTGAAAAATGACTGAACAACAATAACAAGGGGAAGGAAAGTAGGCGTTCTTTGCACCGATCACCTCCTGAAAGAGATCCCCAAAGGAAAACTCCTAGAAATATTGTAGCCAAATTCCAGAGTTCCCAGGTCAAGGAGAAAATATTACAAGCAGCCAGAAGTCAAATATTGTGGAAACACAATTGGGATAACACAAGATTTAGCAGCTTTTACATTGCGGGACTGGAGGGCAAAGGAGATAGGATGAAAACCCAGAATCACTCACCCAGCAAAACTGAGTATAATCCTTCAGGGGAAAAAATGGTTATTCAGTGAAATAGAGGAGCTTGAAGCATTCTTGATGGAAAGACCAGAGCTGAATAGAAAATTTGGCTTTCAAAAACAAGACTCAAGAGAAACACGAAGAGGTAAACAGGAAAGAGAAATCATAAAGGACTTATTAAGGTTGAACTCTTTATATTCTTGCATGGAAAGATGATATTTGTAACTCATGAGACCTTTATCAGTTGGAGGGAAAAAATTATATGGATTATATAGATAAATATATGGATTAGATAGATAGACAGATAGATAGATAGATGTTAGATAGATAGATAGATAGGTAGATAGAGGCCACAGGGTGACTTGAAGGTGAAGGAGTGATATCTGGAGAATAAAATTAAGGGGTGAGAGAGGATTTTACTTGGAGAAGGAGAAAAGGAGAGGTAGGATGGGGTAAAGTATCTGATGCTGAGTGAAGTGAGCAGAACCAGAGAATGTTGTACGCAATGCGATGACTAATACTGATAAACTTAACCCTTCCCAGCAGTACAAGGATCTAAGACATCTCCAAAGGCATCATGATGGAAAATGCTATCCACATCCAAAGAAAGAACTATGGAGTTTAAATGCAGATGAAAGCATACTATTTGCCATTTTTTCCTTCTGTTGAGTTTTATTTCCTCTTTCTGGTGCATCCTCCTATTGGTTCTAATTGTTACTTACAACATCAGTAATGTGAAAATATGTTTAATAGGAATGTATATGTATAACCTATATCAGATTGTGTGTTGTCTTAGGGAGGGTGTCAGAGAGGGAGGGGAAGAAAAATTTTAAACTCAAAAGTATATGGAAATGATTGTTAATAAATCAAAATAAATTAGATTTAAAAAAAACCTGGGTAGAAGAAATGTGGCTGCCCTATCTCACCTCGTCGTGGTGCCTGGGCATGCATGGCCTCATCTATCTCTTTGTCTTTGCTTTTTTTTTTTTAACTGATCTGCAGCAAGTGAGTATTTTCAGATGAAACCATTGAAGTGATCTGGTAAGTTCCTTTGGGTAAACAGAACTGAATAGAGACAATCATAAAATCCTCAAAGCAATAATAAACAGTGTCAGTATGCAAAGTGATTTTCCTAAAGTGCAAGTCCAACCATGTGAATTTGTACTCAGTAATACAAAATCCCAAATTTGGCATTGAAATCCCTTCATAATATTCTGTCTTCTTACTGTCCCCCCACAATTCTGTCCAGTGACACTGGCTTCCTGGCTCTTCTAGAAACAAGACGCTCGATCTCTCATCTTCAGATGTTTTCTCTGGCTGTCCTCCATGCCTGCAATGCTCTCTCTCCCCATCTCTGCCTAGTGATCTTTCAATCCCAGCTGAAATCCTACCTTTAACAGGAAGACTTGTCTAATACTTTTTTTTTCTTTTAAAGGCAATAGGGGTTAGGTGACTTGCCCAGGGTCACACAGCCAATAAGTATCTGAGGCTGGATTTGAACTCAGGTCCTCCTAACCCCAGGTGCTCTTGCCACCAAGCTGCCCCTTCCAATAGTGCCTTCCCTCTTTTACATCCTATTTATCCTGTATAGAGGTTGTTTGTGCATATCTGTTTGCTTGTTGCCTCCCCAATTAGATTGTGATATCCATGAGGTCAGACACTGTCTTTTGTCCTTAGCACATTAGTAGGTCCTTAATTGTGTGTGTGTGTGTGTGTGTGTGTGGTTTGTCATTTGTTCTTGAAGAGGAACATGATATGAGGGAGATGATGGCATGACTTGCAATTGACTTTGATATGAATGACAGAGGGCTGTGGAAAGTCACCAGCCTCACTCTCTCCTCCAGATCCATCTGGGTCCAGTGGCCAGATATCAATCAGAAAACTGGAGACAGCCCAGGATGCCGTGATTGCACTTGGCACATGTAAGCTAAGGTCTTTCCAGCTTCTCACTTTGAGTGAGAAAAGGACCATTCAGTGAATAGTCCTCTTTAAGAGGTGAGTCAAGGGATAGCCCCTTTCATTAAAAAAAATCAAACTGAAAGGGGAATAAATGTTTATTGAATGACTGACTGAAAACCCAGAAGGACTGTATTTGTCCCAGCTTTCTGGCTCAAGCCTCCATTGCACTAGTCCTTATTAAGCCAGCCAAAACCTGGGTCATGTTCCACCTCAAAGAAAAGCAATATCCAGTGGAGAGAGAGCTCTTAGAGTACAATGACAGTGAAGTGTGTGTGAGGAGAACATGTAGCAAAGGGATAACTCATAACTCTGGCACTTTCTGTCCTTTTCTTCCTTTGTAGAATCCTCATAAAGTTCCCTTCAGGATAGCTTCCAGCTAGATTCTGAGGGCTGATTCCTTTCTAGATGGCATACTGGTACTCCTCTCCACTCTGAGAGGTCACACTCTTGAAGCAGCTGCCCTTCTCAGGTGATTGTCTTTCCACAACTATTGCAGGTACCTCCATTAATGTCAGCAATCTGTTGCTATGGGGTTCTTCTTCCTCTGCCTCTAGGAGGTGCTGATATTACAGTCATTCAGCTCCCAACAGCCAAGGGGACTTGGGGATCTTCTGAGCTCACCAGGTTATACAAACACTTCCATCTAGGAAAGCTCATTTGCCTAAGATCAAGAACAATCACAAGAAGACATGAAGCCATTGGTTGACAGTTACCATGCCTGAGTAGTGCAAAAAGAGGCAAGGCAGCCACTTTTCCTCCACCTAGCTCTTCAGGCAGCATTCCTGCTTCCAAGCCAAGAGGGAGAAAGAGACAGAGGGATAGAGAGATTTAGGTACAGAGACAGAAAAAGAGAGGGAGAGACAGAGAAAGAAATAGAGAGAGTTGGGTCATTCCTTTTAAAACCACGCTGAAGTCAGTTTGGAAACTCTGGTCATCACTTCTTAGGGCCAGTTAAAAGATTTTCTCTTCAGTCTCTAGCGCATGTCCATTAATTAGGCACCGCCAGAAGAAACAGGCTCTTCATAATTGTCCACTTGGCCTACAACCAGGTAAGGAATATCTTTGCATGCTCTAAGAACTGGCTCCTTTGTGGCCACTATAGCGAGGCTGTATTGCTATTAAGGAAATAACCAACTTTTGAAATTTTTAGTGGTCTTTCTGTCCCTAGATGTTTTATGCATCATTACCAAAAGCTCAGTTGTGTTTTTTTTAAGTGAAACTTCAACCAAAATTTTACCCTAAAATTCTCATCTGTTTTTGTTCTGTACTAGAGAGATTAAAATAACTATAAATTTTCAACTTGACAATGCATATGTCTTTTAGTAGGGATCAAAAATAATGTAACTATGCAGAAAGAAGATAATGACATATTGAAGAACAAATGTCTTGCTTTTAGTGCAATAAGAGTTTGCCCTGGAGATAGGAAGACCTAGGTTCAAATCGTACTCTTACACATACTAGCTGTACTACTCTGGGTTTGCCGTCCAACTTTGTCAGCATCCTACGTAAGTAGGACAATAATTTACAGTTTTAATATAAATATAAGCCAATGCTATCAAATACAAAATTGCTGACATGTATCAGTGGAGTTCCCAAGGTGATGAAATCTCAGGTTTAGACTATCTCAAATAAGTTACAAATGACAAGTCAAGAACAAGTTACAGCAAAAGCAGAGAGGAACAAGGTGAAAGAGTGAAATAAGAAAGAAAAGAAAAAAATCAAGTGACAAACATCAAAGAATACTTAAATGAAAATGCCAAAAATATTGTATTCATTCTCTAGCTATTTTCTACCGGCCGTATATACAAACAATAAACAAAAAAATTACAAAAAACAAATTAGGTCTGGTTGGTGACAGTGAAGAAAAAAAAAAGCACCAAATGTCTTTGTGCCATTTGTTCTCTTGGCCAGTATTACGATTACCAGTAGCCTTCAATCTGCTGTTAGATGTCAATGAAGAAATTTCATAAGTTTGTATGATGGGCTTGAGTTGATTAGTGATTTCTTTGCCTGAAATTTCAATGTTAAAGCCTCTCATCTTCTTTATAGACTCTCTAAAATCCACGAGCTATAAGGGTGGAAACAGTCACACACTAAAAGAAAAGAAAAAGTAGCGTCAGTGGCTCAGGATTTTTGATATTCACTTGTCTAAGACAACTTTATAAGAAAGCTACTTTTTTATGAACAATGGCAACATAGAGCATCAAACCAGGTTTCTACACAATTTCCTAGAAAAGTGTCCTTTTTTAGCATGAGCCTTCCATAAACTGATCTTGTATTTTCAAATATAATTTCTTAATATCTAATTCAAAATTTATCAGCTATCTGCCTGTTCCGCTCAATAGTAGAGTTTTTGTTAGAGGAAACAGTCTGTCCCAAAAGTCTTCGAGCAGTTTTAAGCTTTAATAATCAAAGTAATAATAACAAAAGCTTCAATATTTTAAAAAATAGTTTGTTTTCCCCTAATTACATACAAAGACAATTTTTAACATTTATTTGATTTTAATTTAGAATCCCAAATTATCTCCCTCCCCTCTTCCCTTACCTTCCCCCTCCTGGAGGCAGAAAGCATTTTGATATCGGCTATACATGTTCAATCATGCAAAACACATCACAATATAGGTCCTGTTTGAAAAGAAGACACTGAACCAAAGGAAAAAATACGAAAAAAAAGAAATGAAAACTAATATGTTTTAATCTGCATTCAGACTCCATCACTTCCTTCTCTGGAGGTGGATAACATTTTTCATCATGAGTCCTTTGGAATTGCATTGGATCATGGTATGGCTGAGAATCAGCTTCAGTATCTGAAAACTACACTCATGTTTGGACATATTTGGAGACACGATATTATTTCATGGAGACCTTTCCTACTAGAAAGGAACAATTTTCTAGGAAAATTGGTCAAATGAGATATAATGAATCCTGGACCAAAAAATCCGAAGGGATTTACACAGTAATTGAATAAGATTATAACTCCCTAAGCAACAAATAGGAGAAATAAACTTTTAATCAAAACAGTGATAATTTGAGACCAATCTTTTAGACATTCCTTTTTTAAAATGCCCCTTGTTAGAAAGTGGGGGAGGGGGGAAAATACCTGTTTTTCTCATTTTTCTGCTTCTTCAAGTGCTCTGTTTACTATATATAGATCATTAGTGACAGCTTCCAGGGTATGACAGGCCATTCTATGTCCTCTCTGGGTTCTTGCTTGGTGTAGTCTGATGTTCTTCTCAAATTGATCACTTTTGGAGCTGTCTTCTCTTTAACTCTTTCAACCATTTTTAAAGATTCCCGGATCTTCTCAATGGTTTTGTCCCGTGAGGGTGAGGAGAGAATGATTACAGTTCTGTCTCTCCTCTATATGATAGGCCAGTTCACTTATCTTCCCTCTAAGATTCCAGGCAAATATAAAAGGGGGAGAGTATTTCTCAACTGCGACTAAGAGCAGGCAGTGAGCAAGGCACTTTACAAAGATCATCTCCTTTGATCCTTACAACAACCCTGGGAGGGAGTTTTGAACATTATCTCCATTTCACAGTTGAGGAAATGGAGGTGGATCGCAGGTTAATGCCTGGGATCACACAGCCAATAACTCTGAAAGGCTAGATTTGAACTCAAGTCTCCCTGACTCCAGGGCCAGGGCTCTATCCTCTGGTCCACCTAGTATCTCACAATCGAGGAGCATAGATATACAATCACACATGTCATCATTCTTAACAAACAACAACAACAAAAACTAAGTCTTCTCACACTGAAGCCAAGTATACAGGGCACTGTGAGTCAGACCAGAAATTCAAGAAAAAGTACAAAATGAGGTCCCAGCCTCAAGGAGCTCATAGTCTGTGCTACCCACACACAGAGAAACAAGAAGCAAAGTCTGGCTAGACTGTTGCCAATAAACTGCAAATTTCACTGGCTGATCCATGAGTGTAGAATAACCGCCACCATTCATATAGCATGTTTATTCCCCACTTTAAGCCTCACAACAAAAAGTGTCAGATAAGTAGTACAGGTTTGGGGGCCCCATTTTACAGGTGAGGAAACTGAGGCTTGGAGCCTTTCCCATGGTCAAACACAGGTCTGCTGACTCCAAGTCTAGTCTTCTATGGATTGTGTCGACTGTCTTTCAATTGAATAGGTATACCTGCTGAAATAGAGTTGATTTAGAGGATCTTACAACTGGGACACTCAGTGAAGGACATGGAGAAGGTCAGGAGGCAATCCAGAAGATTCATAGTTTGGAAAGTTTCCCTTAAGTGAAGAGCACAAAGGGGACCTGTTTGTTTAACTGAAATAGGGAGACCAGAAAGCAGTGACAAAGACCCTGGTTGAGTTTCTGAAAGTACTTCACTTATCTCAACTTACTTTGAGGTAGATGACTCTCCTCAGGTGAGTTTTTCATGATTTGATTTGACCATCTCATTTCACTGAGCTGTTTCTTAAGTTTCTCCACCTTTTCTTCCAAGCTTACCATTGTAGGGGGTTCTTCAAGCTGTGCTCAATACTCAACAGAGTCTATTGACTTTTCTCCTTCTCTAGTTGCACGAATTTCGCATGCAAATCTTCTGTCAGCAATGTCTTCATTTTGTTTTGTTCCCAATGAGTTTCTCCCTACATCAAAACAAAGGAGTTAGTCCTTTGTGTGTTTTAAAGTACTTTCTGTTTCTGGGGTTACATGTACTAGAGCAATATTTGATTAGTCAGTCATTCTTTTGAGTCCAAGTTAAATGCATTAACAAATACAATCTGCATCCACTTCAGCAGCAAACTGAGTAGAGTAGTAGACAAGGAATTAATGCCCTGAGTTTTGAGGCTGAGATTTGTCCCACCTGCCTAGGCCTCAGTTCATCATCTCTAAATCAGGAATCATAATCTTTGTACTCCTTACCTCACAGGGTTATTGTGCAGATTAGTTTGGACAATAGAGATGAAGTGCTTCTTAAGAGAAAAGTCATATTTCCCTCTAAGTCATAAATTATTGTTGTTAACGTTTTTAGTTTCATTTGCGAAAGGCACCTAAGGATTGGTATCTTTAGAGTGAAATCAACTTTTAGCTTAGTTGGGATAGGGTGAGATGTTATTTCCGCCTACTTTATTTGACAGCAGAAGCAATGCTTTTATTACTTCTGTTTGTGAAAAAAAGTGGTCACTATGACAGAGACAAAATCAAGGAATCAAACTAGGCCCAGACTCATCTGAGTCTGAGCTCCAGGCTCTGTATGGGATTAAATAGACCAGATTAAATGCAGGGAACATGAAAAATCACTTTCTCTTTAGCTCAGGTTTCTTCTCCTCCCATGTTGCCTCCAAGGAAATCACAGCATGATATTTGAATATAACAAACATCTAGGTCTCCACAGATGTGGGTAAAGGCACTCAAGAAATGTATAATTTGAGTAGGGTGACCTTTGTTCTACCTCTCAGAAAACACAGAAAGGACTCACAGTAATCCATAAACCAGATTTACCATTTCCTTCTTCTCTGTTGATTTCTACCTTTTCCCCAGGGTTGTAATATCCTTGAAAAAACCCTGTGGTTTGGACTCCTTGTGGGAGAAATTAACTTGGAACTAGCAGAGAGGAAATATACTAATATTCTTCTCTCACCCTCAGAGATCCACACTGGCCTGCATCGTTTTGGGACTAGCTGAGGGCTTCACTCTCTTGGAAGGAGATTCTAGACAGACAGACTAAACATTGGCCAAGTAACACATTGTCATATTAAGGCTCCAAGTTGTGGTCTTTTGTTCATTCATATTGTGGTGTAGATTTCACTGCTGCCATGTGCATGACCCTCTTCTGGGTATCAAGACAACCCCAAAGCCAGGAAATCACCTTCTCAGCCTCTTTTGATAAAAATCTGAGTAGTTGGACCATGCTGCCCAGAGAATTCCTACTTCTTCCTTTTTGCTTTGGGGTCTGGGGCTTTCTTCTCAAGCCATATGGTGGAGAGACCAAGGAACTCATGTGCCTTTGCCTCAAGAGAGACATTAATGGATTCCTCAGAGAGTAATATCCTTCCTCACTCCCCACCCCTCCCTGCCCACCAAATGGGATTCAGGTTCTCTCTATTGGGCCCGGCCATACTTGGAAAGGAGTGAAAAAGGAAGAGGTTGAAAATGAATATTGAAGCCTTCCTTGAAAGGCCAGCACAATGAGATGCCACTGACCCTTGGAACCCTGGCTCCTGATTGGTGGGCACCCAATACTCTCAAGTGGATGCGAGGAGAATGCAAACCACTAGATGGCAGTAGTGTTGTCAGTGGGCATAGTCACACCTTCCATGAAAAGATCATCAGCCCCAAACCTTACCACTCTGTGCACTCATCAAGTTGAGTTAGAGACCTGACATTTGTATCGTGTTTTAAGGTTGGCTAAGAGCTGTACATGTAATACCTTAGGAGACAAAAAAAAATAGTCCCAACCTTTATTCATGTACCCATACTAGAATGGACACCGAAATAGTTATTTTTGATGAAGACTTTGTTGATGCTGAGACCAATTGGTTTGGGGAGGGAAAGGGAGAGGAAGAGGAAAAGAATATGCATTGACACTCCTAAAGTGTAGCACAAGCCAGCTTTCATTCCCAATGGAATTAAAATTTTAGTAGCTCTTCAGATAAGAGTTCAAATTTAAAAAACTACTAATGTAGTAAAACTCAACTTTTTCAAACCAGACCATGTAATTTCCAAAACATTATTGCAGATTAATTTTCATTAATTTCCACCATGTTATTTAGATGTACACCTAGCTCATTTAAAAAAAATAAATTCATAAAATTAATTGCTAGCGCATTCCCCATAGGGCAATCACTTTTTTGTGTTGGAACGGAATTTTCTCAGGTATAATAATGCCTTCTATTTGCAGGACACTCAGAGGTTCACAAAGCATTTTCAGATCCATTGACTGATTTGAGCCTCACTATAATCTGTTAGTTAGTTAGTCAGTTAGGTCTTATCATCCCCATTGCATAGATGAATAAATAAACTCTAAGAGCTGAAGCTGTTTATTCACCCAACAACCAACGGAGGGACATAGGAACCACATTTAGATCTCCCCCTAAGTCCTGCATTACACCATACTGCCTGTAATGAATGGCATGAACAACAACACTGTAAAGTAGATGACCTGGAACTATTTGTACCTTAGTGGAAAGTGGCTCTACCTTAAATCATTTGCATCCTGTGTCCCCCTTAGATTTTGAGCTCATGGAGAACAGTGCCAGTGTAATGTGACTAGTGAGAGTCCAGCCTTTAAGGAGCATGTGAAATGTGCTTGGCCTCATGCAATTCCTGTCATATGAGCTGGAGTATCCTGCTTCTGAGTAGATAGTAATAGAAGCCCCTATTATGCACTTCAGAGCATGCCCAGAAACAGGCTCAACAAACACCCATGAAGGAAAATGCATCAGCCAAGGTGTACTGTTCATCCTCCTAGTGATGAGCTCTCATTGGCCAACCCATCAATTTAATAGTAGTACTCTCTGTTCAAAAATACTTTTCTCTTCTGGTTGTTAGTACATATCAAATTCCACCATTAAATAATCATTCTTATATCATCTTCTTTTAAAGTTGCATGACAAATGTCCTCACTCCAAAAGTCAAGTACATTTATAATGAAGAAAGGGGAGCATGGATTTTCTACTTACTTCTGCACAAAATCAGAAGTATGGGAATAAATATTTTCTCATCCCTCTAAAAACATCCTCCCCCAAAAAAAACTCTTTAAGGATGCTAATAATGATGGGTTTGTTTGTGTTTTTTTTTTTTGCACAATGGGTAAGATTGAAGCCATTAATATAATTTTGAAAATAATAATTTTTGTTGCCATGTACTTCCATGGACCTTCCTTTCTTCTTCTCCAAATCCCATCTCTCTTGAAAGAAGGCGTCAGTGGCACATTTGCCTTCTGAGAATTTTAAGGATTTCTTTTGTTCCACAATCTTTTCTTGAGTTTGGGATGACTCAAACACAGTCTCTTGATAAAGGTGGTGCAGCTGCTCCACCTGCAGAGTTAGCAATTGGATCTCTCACTGCAGGACTTCACTTTCTTGTGTAATGCAGCACATTATTTTACCATTTTAGGTAGTAGGGCCCTTTAAGTCATGGAAAGCAGAAATTAGTGCTTCACCTCACCCCAGACCTCTCTCCTCTTAAATGTAAACAATAGTGAAATGTACTCTTGCATAGTTCAGCACAGCCTGTACCTCCAATGCAAATGGATAAGAAAGCTTGCAATATAATTGCTTTAGATAATTATGTGTATACCAGCGACCAGGACACCTGGTCTGATTCGTGTGATCTCTGACCTGTAATAATGGGGTGCTTGGGTGCTTGTGCTTGTACGTGTCCCCAATTTCTCTCCAGTCTCAGAAACACTGTCTCTGACAACCACTCCCCAGCCCTCAGATCATGTCTCTGGAAGCCTTCCAATTCCTTAGTTCCTGTCTTGTGAGAAAGCTTTTCCTTGTTGCAGAGCATTCTGTCATCAAGACAGAGGGAGAGGAGTGCCTTGGCCAGCCCAAGGAGTTTTGTCCTTGGCCAGCCCAAGGACTCTTCCTCCTGCCAGACTCCAAAGATCCATACCTCTGTCATCTCCCTCCCTGTCTGGTATACTCCTGTACTTTCCCATCATAGCCCCCAAAGACAGCTGCACCTTTGGATTACCTCATCAGTGTTCCTGGCATTTCTTTCCCATGCTCTTTTCCATATAAACCCTAGCTCGACCCCTGATCAGGGCTGCTTGATTTGGCGTACATACCCCTTGCAGCCACGAGCTTCAATAAATCTCCACTTTAAATTCTCACTGGGTCTTTGTCTCCCATCTGTTCTGGCACAACACCTGCAGGGAAATTACAAAAGTGAGATTTATCCCTATATCTCCTATTTGCTCTTTCCTTTCAAAGCCAAACATGCAATTCCAATCGTTATGGTCAAAGTATGGATTTTGTTATGCTGATACGATTTTCCCTTAGGTCAATCTGTTGTGTAGATCATTGGTTGGAATGAATAGGAGAAAAGAGAGACTGATGGATGGAGACAAAACACTTCAGTTTAAACATAATAATGGAAACATGCATGGAAATTTTCAGGACACCAGAAAATCCTCCACAATGAAAAGAGCTTGAATACTTCCCAAAACCAAGATTTCTATGGAATGACTCTGCAAAAAACATTCAATCCAAAAGAAACAACAACATTTGTGTGAATTGGAAGTGGAGAAAGAGAGGAAGAGACAGTTTTTGCGAGGAAGATTTCAGGGTTATGAATTATCTGCATGAGTCTATTGGTTCAACTCTTCTGATGAAATTGAACAAGTGATTGAACTTTTTTTTAAGCATCTTATTGATACCTTTTTGTTTTCTATACAATAGATAACCATCCTCTACAGGAAAAAAAGTTTGACGACCATCACATGTTCACTAGATATGCTTCCAAGTGACTTTGGGACATCTCCCTCAGAATTGACATAAGAAGCATTATTGTGTTTTTAACGACTGGAAATGTTGTGATATAAGAAACGGTAAAATTGGCTTTATAGATTGTCTTACTTCTTCTCTTGCCTTAGTGTGGCAAAAGCTCAACAACAGAAATG